AAGACATCTATTTAGAACTGCATCCAAATTTAAAGTCCGAGGATTTTGTTCTTATTATAATGACAAAAGCACAATTGGATATCTTAAAAAAATATGGTAATGATTGTGTGTGCTTGGATGGCACACATGGGTTAAATAGTTATAATTTTGAACTCAATACATTATTAGTTTCGGATGAACTTAGGGAGGGTTTTCCCTGTGCTTTTTTGATTTCCAACAGATCAGATACACAAATACTGGAACTTTTTTTGAAATGGTAAGAGATCGTTTAAAGGAATCTCTAAAACCAAAAATTTTTATGTCTGATTTAGCAGACACTTTCTTTAATGCATGGGTCAGTATAATGGGCATTCCAGAAAAACGGTAAATTTATTCCTTTACATTTAGTTCATATATTTTTATTGTTTTCAATTCTATTTTAGACTTTTTTGCACTAAGCACATAGACAGAGCCTGGAGAAAGAACTTAAACAAAATTAAGTCTCGAGACACTCAGGTAAGCTTTTATTCTCACTTTCATTAGTAATTATCTATCTAACAAATGTCACAAAAATTAGTCTAATTTAAACTTTAGGTTTTAATTTACAAACATTTACGTACACTTTTAATAGAACGTGACCCTAATGCATTTCAAAAAATGTTGGAAGAATTTTGTTGCATTAATAATGTAGAATGTGCAGGCTTTATGAATTATTTTCGAAAATATTATGCAAATAATTATAAATATTGGGCTTACTGCTGTAGATTGCATGCTGTTATTAATACCAACATGCATCTAGAAAGAATGCATCGATCAATAAAGTACATCTACTTAAAAGGCAAAAATGTAAAAAGATTAGATAAGGGCATTGCAGCAATCATGCGTTTTGTCAGGGAATTAATTAACTGAGTTATTGGTAACTATTTAGATTACATAGCTACATAGCATGATCCATCAAAATATTGTACAATTGTAACGTTTCACGTTTGAGGGTATTTAATTTTGCTAAAATTTGACCATCGAAACCATAATTATATATATAGAGGGATCTATAATTGCTTAGTATTTGGGTTATTGTGACAGGCCAATCTTCTTTATGATTTAGCTGTATAGTTAGTATTACATTCAGGTATTGGTTCCTTATTATTGTGTTCAATTATCACCTTTTACGGACCTAAAAATAAACATTTACTTTTATTTGCACTGGTTGAACGCAAAGGTTATAAAACTACTTACCCCAGGACGGTTAACCATTGAATTCCGTTTGCAGGGACCTTGCTAAGTGTTAATTGACATTCGTCTATCCATTTTGTCCATGGTTTTGCCATCTAAAGCTGTTTTGGCTGTGAAATGCATTGTTTTCAGGCATCAGCTGTTTATCTGAGGTTAGATATGACGTTGAACACGGCAGTGTTGCCAAACGTACACTCGCCTCCCATAGACCTTGGTATAGTGTAGATAGATTTTGTTAATCAACTTAAAATTCTAGTGGCTGTTCGAAGTTCGCGATAACAATAATTATTGTACAATACGTATGGACTGCCTTAGTATAATTCCTCATTAACGTCTGGCGATTCGTCGATTTACCGTTTAGATATATTGTTGTTGCTCAACGGGTTTATGGGTAATTGCCCAGGGGAACAAATTGGTCATTTGCGCCTCTTTACATTTAAATTACGTCACTTTCAGGATACACACACACTGGTATGCTCTTGCGCTTGTATTCTCTTGCGCATGACATGTTGTGTGACGTCAGGTGGATTGCAGCGTTTAAATTTTAAAATTTAATGTACGAATATGTATATGTTATTTTTAAGAAGTGAAACTTGATAAATATACTTGTTTATATTTTTAAGAAGTGAAAATTGATTAATAAACCTACTTTAGGACTAATTTTTGCATTGTATTTGGACTCAATTATTGGATTGCAGCGACTAATAGTTTAATTACTGAGAACCCCTTAAATTTAATTTACGTACCTTAAGGTAATTATAAAATTAGATTTATTAGATATTATTCAATTAAAACAATATATTTTTACCATCTATATATTTTTTCTACGGTTGGGTCATAGAACTCTTTCTCTTTGGTTGGTAAACATCTATTTTTTTAATTGAATAATATCTAATAAATCTAATTTTATAATTAAAAAATGTAGGTATGTAATTGACACTTACCATTTTTTAAGTTAATTTCGTCATCTCGTCGGCATGCTAAAATCCACTGTTTTGACAAATTACTGTCCTTTGGAAAACGAAAATATTTTATTTCTGTTCCTTTTGTAACTCGTACATAGTTTTTACAAGTTGCCACGGCACAGTTTGACATTTTAACTGCACAAATACACAATAATAATGTTTACAAATATTAAAATCACATAATTATGTGGTGAAAACACAATAAACCATAGAAAAACACAAAAATAAAAGCGATTAACCTCAAATACTTTCAAACTTTCAAGACAGAAATAATCCAGATGACATAATGCGCAGAAACGACTCATTTTGGTTCGACTAAATAGCATACCAGTGTGTGTGTATCCTGGTCACTTTGTTAACGACATTTCCGGCTTCTTCATCTTTGTGCTGACCCTCGACCTGTGAGAACGCCATCTGCTCAATCTTGACTTATCCAGTGCATATTGTGCCCTCCGAGCTTTTTCGGGAGTAATCAAGTTTCGCAGAGGTATAGTGGTGTTGTGAGAATAGTAGTTTGAATTGAATATTTGGATTTCTCACCCACAGCGGATTTATTCCGGATTAGAAGCGATCTCACATGGTAAGCCATCTTGTTTTTTTGGTTCTGAACAGAATTTCTTATGTTGATGTTCTTATTTAGTTCCTGGGTCAGCCCAAAGCCATTCACCTAGACCTCACCCTCCATCGTGTCAAGATTTAACGATATTATCAAGACACCAGCGTGAGTACAGTCGACTTTTGTATTTTGTTAGGTGTTATATGGCGTCGTGTATTTTTAGGGTCCGACTATATAGTCCGATATAATCAAGTTGTATAACCAACCTTAATTTTCCTGCTTCTGATATCTGGATATTCTCTCGATTTCGACCCTCACCGTTCTGTGACTGGCTGGACCGTGACGTCAAATACCACGAAGGTAGTCCGGATTCAGCCCAACAAATACCACCCGATAGCGACACTGTGAGACGGCCGGGGTAAGACTGAGCCCGACGCCTGCCGCCTTACCCCACCTGATTGTGACAACACCCCTGGCAAGACCCTTACCCGACGTAGACAATTCACCCTGGAATTTACCCTGGAATCACCCTAGTATCACCCCTTTCATTATTATATTTTGTTAAAATGTCAAACTGTTTGTTATGGTTAAAAAACCTTATTGAAAGTGATAATTTATAATTTATCTTGTAGTAGTCTTGACTGTGCACCTGGTTGTTAGCCAATGGTTTAATTTGTTTAATTAATGTCATTAATATTTGAGTTTGTCACAGCTACGGCACTACAAGAACTTATTTTGGTAAATTGATATTTAGTTAAGTTTTAGTATATTATTATTATTAAGGAGTTCTATTGTGAACCCTGTGATCACACGGTGCATAACTTCAGTGTGTAGAGTTTTACTTCTTAAAAAGTAACAGTTACAATATTTAATTTAGTTAAGTGGTTTATGAAACTATTATTTTGGTAACAACCAGTTATTTGTTGTTAATGTAACTTGCGTATAGCAATTATTAGTTTAAATTGATAAATCAATGTTTCGTTGTTAACTTGAAGAGCTGAATTTGGGAATAAACAAGTGTGAACTGTTTCTCGATTTCTCTTGTTTCATTTGTTGTTTAAATCGTCCCGTTGAGGTGTTTTATAAATCGAGTGGTGCCCACCCCGTCAGCTTATTATTATAAACCCACGCCCACGCAACCCCTGAGCTGGGCAACTACCTCAACAGGACCGTAACGTCGCCGGTTTTGGAGCCCTAGTAAATAAGTTTAATTTATTTTTAATATATTCATTTTGGACGTTACACAATTTTGGACCAATACATTTTTCAATATTTAATAATATTGAACAATGTGTGTCTAAAACTTTTTAACAAACAATAAATCATATTACTTTAAGCAAATAATAAAGGAAAAATATCCAGTAAAAATGCAAATATCAGTTCACGACATCACACTATGAAAAAAATGGATCCTTCTAAAGTTATACCATCCGAGGAAGGTTGGGAAGTACTGGGAGAGAATTGCCAGGAAATTTATCTAATACAAAAGAAAGAAACTAATTGTAAAAGTTGTCCAATGGTGTGTTTGGGCTGTGAAAAAAAAAATAACTAAATTATCATACTTTTTTATTTTTAGAGCTAAATGAAGTAAATACACTAGTAGAGCTTAATGAAGAAAATACACTGGTAATGATCGAAAGAAACAGTGATAAAAATTGTGAATCAGCCATACTTGAGCTAAGCAAAAATGCATCTATTTGTCAAGACGTTACTAAGCGTAAGGAGAAACTGCAAAATGCATTTATGCAAACTTTAAGTACAATTTCAACTTTAGAAGAAGTTGAAACTATGGAAAAATTATTTACTCAAGCTGGTCCATCATTGGCAGCTATCAGGAACAAAACACCAGCATTTCAAACAAAACAAAAAGTTAATACTAATAAAAATATAGTTTCACAAAGAAAGTTCTTCTTCACAAAAAAGAAAACATAAAAAAAACGTTTTTCATTACACATCAGCTGATATAAACCACAATGCATTTAGTCTTTTAAATAAAAAATAAATGTTTTAACAATAGTATGTTATTTATTTTGCAATTAAAGTTTTATACCTTTTATAAAGTGTTTTATTATTCTAAGTATTTTAATAGTATTTCCTGTAATTGGGAGTTGGCAATCTTATTGGAAATAAAGTGTTTATTTATTTATCATACAATGATAATTGCCAACAGTAATTTAAGAAAATGGCAGTACATTTATATATACATATAATATATTACATTAAATGTTTTATACATAAATATAATATTGCAATTTATATTTAAATACATTCGATAAATCCGGCAACACCGCTACAACGCAAAGTTTGACATGTCCCCACTCCTATTTCAATTTGTGACCATAACTCTCTAGAGTCTAGACTAGATTCTAGTGGAGTCATGTTTCCAATTCCCCCGCTTATGTTTCACCCCCCTGATTCGAACATTCTTAAGCATAGAAAAGCTTCTGCCGGTAAAACGTATTTCTGCAAACTTACGGTCACTAGGTCGACCGCATAGAAAAAGGATATAAGAAGGGCGACCTCAGTGTTAGGCAAAGGAAACACAACTGACATTTCGGCCCTGTGAGCAGGTCCGGACTAAAGCATTTTTTAAATAATTATGGGATACCAGGACCAGCTTCAAAAATTTTATAATTTTAAAAATTTATTTATTTTCACAAAATAAGAATACAAATAAACATCATATATAAAGTTTTATCAGAAATATCAACAATAAATTCAGTATAAATAAACCAAGTATATCACAGATGTAAAGGAACTTTTTAAATCTCTATTCCAAAACAACCTGGTTGTTTTAACAAAAGGTTTACAGGTTCTGACTCAGAAATTAAACAAAGGTTTTTAGGTATTGATGTTGGGCTCAATCTAAGTGGCTCATTGGGATTATTGTAATGATTATTAGTAAAATGATCTCTACAAACATAAATTTTTACAATTAATCCCTTTGGGTATTTCACAAATTTCCTGCCAAACTTTGCACATGGCAGGGTTGGCAGGAAATACATGAAACCGTTTTTGCTCACCATTTTCTAACCCTGCTTAAAATACCCCATAGAGACCTATATAAAATAATCTATCGGGCGCTACCGGATTCAATATGTGCATTTGTCCATGGTTTTTTCCGGATACGGCCCGATAGAAAATATATAGGAAATTACCTATAGGCACACCATAACTTTTCCATTTTCCCTATTGAGACCGATAGCAAATAACTTAATGAAGAATATATAGGGATATCCCTATAGAACAACCATAAAACATTTGATTAAATTTTATTAAAACCTATGGGGTCCTATGGGGGAAAACTAATTTCTACATGTATGTGTATTTTCCCCATTGAAACCAATGGATATCCCTATAGAACAACCATAAATCCCAACTATGGGTCCTATACATACCGATACACCCTATAGAAACACCATATACTCCAATACAAATATCTATCGGTTTAAACAGGGTCTCTATGGGGTATTTTAATCAGGGAAGCGACGCACATTTTCGCACTTAGGAAATTTGCAGGACAGCTTAATTTTGTCTTTCATTCCTACCAGTTAAATCAAAAGAGATTGCCTGACAAAAAATTATTAACTTAAGTTAATAAATTTAAGTTATTGTAATTACACAGGATCTTACGTGTTGAATGTCGAATGATGAATGTTGAATGATGAATGTTGAATGCTGAATGATGAATGTTGAATCTAAAAAAAAATCACTTTAGACAATAATTCTTAATAATTAATTTTAATAAATAATAACTTACAGCAACCAAAATAAAAATAATTAAATAATTTCACTCTTCAGCCCGTGACAGCTGTGTGTAAATAAAAAAATCCAAAATGTGTCACGACCCTTTCACCCTGGACAGCAGTATGTGAAGACCATAGACAAATGTCCTAAAAATTAATAGGTATAAATTAGGTATAATAAATAAGTTAGGTAGGGTACATTACAAATCAATATTTAAATAAAAACTATTTCAATAGATTGTCTTTTAAAACGAGACAATAATCATAAATTGAAAACAATAAAATTTAAACCTATAAGAAATAAGTAGAACCTATAAGAAATAAGTAATAAGTAGGTATATAATCTTTATAATAGTAAATTGATAGCAATAACCTAATGAAACAAGTAATAAGTATATAATCTTTATAATAGTAAAATGATAGCAATAACCTATTTGTATACTTACTGTCGATCCAAAAGAACACAATTCTTCAATAAAACTTCCATAAAAAGCGTTTTACACAAGAAAAATATGTATTTCAATAAAACAATAAAAAACTTCGTAACAACAAGAATCCGTTGGTTAACAGTGTTGTACGATTTAGGGTTAAAAATATATTTGTAAATCCATAATAAATAAAATTCTTTTATAAGTAATATTAAAGAATACATCACATATGGTAATAATAATCAATTAAGTATTAATACAACAGATTATAATTTAATAATAATTAAAATATCGTTTCATAAATAGAATGCCAAACGGACATATGGCAACATAGGGCAAGACGTTTTTGATTTAAACTTTACATTGTTGAACGATTTATTGGTTAAAACAATTTAATCAAATTTTAACTAAATAACTTAACTGCATATATAAAACAACAAAATTAAAAAATACTTAATGACTAAAATATGTTTTATTTAAAAATAATTTGAACTTTATTTTACACGTGGCAAATTCTAGACTTAAAATGGATATATGACAACATCGCTCACAGGGCCAGTGTTTCTCATTTGCGCATTCAGGTTTCACCCCCCTGGGTGTCGATTCTCGACTTGAGAGAACGTCGTTCTCATGAAAAAAGTGGGCGTGGTTCTCTCAAGTTTTGATGAGGATGTATTCTCGAAAATTGGCGACTATTCCTCTCGTCTAAAACTTAAGAGAACTGGCTTCTCTCGGAATTTTGAAGGAGAACGGAGCAAAGTTAATGGAAGCATGCGCTGTTTGAATATTTTGAGCAAAAACCTGCCAAAAATTTGTTTACTTTTATTAGAATACATATTTAATATTTAATGGATTACGACGAAGCTGCAGTTGCACTGCATATTATTAACGATGTCGTGGAGGCTGAGGAACAAGTTGAAGAAGCCGCTGGTGGTCGTCGATTTTACTTAAGGGAGGATGCCTTCCAATTGTCGGATAAGGCGTTCATTAAAAACTTTCGACTTAGTAAGGTTCCCACTCGTGAACTTATTGAATTAATCAGGCCTTACATGCAACCCCCTTCAAGAAGGACAGCGCTTACTGTCGATACGAAGGTAGGTGATAATTGTTCCTAGAAATTTGTTTATTATTTTATTGTGTTTTTAATTTGTTATGTAGGTTCTTGTCAGCTTAATTTTTTTTGGCCATGGTCATTATCAAGAAGGAGTAGCAAAGAACATTTTCACAGCGTTGAGTTTATCTAATACAAAAGAAAGAAACTAATTGTAAAAGTTGTCCAATGGTGTGTTTGGGCTGTGAAAAAAAAAATAACTAAATTATCATACTTTTTTATTTTTAGAGCTAAATGAAGTAAATACACTAGTAGAGCTTAATGAAGAAAATACACTGGTAATGATCGAAAGAAACAGTGATAAAAATTGTGAATCAGCCATACTTGAGCTAAGCAAAAATGCATCTATTTGTCAAGACGTTACTAAGCGTAAGGAGAAACTGCAAAATGCATTTATGCAAACTTTAAGTACAATTTCAACTTTAGAAGATACTTTTATTAGAATACATATTTAATATTTAATGGATTACGACGAAGCTGCAGTTGCACTGCATATTATTAACGATGTCGTGGAGGCTGAGGAACAAGTTGAAGAAGCCGCTGGTGGTCGTCGATTTTACTTAAGGGAGGATGCCTTCCAATTGTCGGATAAGGCGTTCATTAAAAACTTTCGACTTAGTAAGGTTTCCACTCGTGAACTTATTGAATTAATCAGGCCTTACATGCAACCCCCTTCGAGAAGGACAGCGCTTACTGTCGATACGAAGGTAGGTGATAATTGTTCCTAGAAATTTGTTTATTATTTTATTGTGTTTTTAATTTGTTATGTAGGTTCTTGTCAGCTTAATTTTTTTTGGCCATGGTCATTATCAAGAAGGAGTAGCAAAGAACATTTTCACAGCGTTGAGTCAGTCCAGTGTAAGTAGGTGTCTCCATGAGGTTATCAACGCGCTTAATCGGCATGAAGTAATGGAACGGTTCATTAGATTTCCTCAAAATATCCGCGAGTTGCGTGAACGTAGGGCCCGTTTCTTTAGAAAATATGCATTTCCTGGAGCAGTGGGGTGCATTGATGGGACCACATCGCCATAGTTCCTCCAATTGTTGATGAGTATGTTTTCGTGAACCGGAAGCATTACCACTCCCTGAATGTGCAATTGGCATGTGATGAAGGTCTTCAAATTATGAATGTGAATGCAAGATTTCCCGGCAGCTATCACGACGCATTCATTTGGCGGCAATCGCAGATGTCTCATGTCATGGAACAGATTTATCGCAATATGCCAAATGAATCCTTCTTCCTAATGGGCGATTCAGGGTACCCCTTACGACCTTGGCTGCAAACGCCTTTGTTGAACCCTCTTCCAGACAGCCCCGAAGAGCGGTATAATAATCGTTTTAAGATGATCCGAAGTACTGTGGAACGCTGCAACGGTGTGCTTAAAAATCGGTTTAGGTGTTTGCTGCGCCATCGTGTTTTGGACTACGCACCAGAAACAGCAGCAGCCATAGTTAATGCATGTACTGTCTTACATAATATGTGCTTGGAACATGGAATTCCCGAGCCGGAGGATGATTTGCCTGACGCAGATTTTGGCATGTACGACAATGATGACGACGATCCTGGTAATAACGGCCAAATCCGGGCGGTTAATGCAGATTTGGCAGCGGGCCGCAACTTACAAGCAAGGATTATTGCTAATCACTTTAATTAAAATTTAAAATTTATGCCAGCACCTATATTCGTTCTTCATCAATAAATGCAATTGAGCAAGTAGTACTTTATTACTTAGAATGATAATATTATAATATATAAACATAATGGTAACTCGAAACGAAACAATAACAAAAAAAGCCTAATACTAAGTAACAGCAATAAACCATATTGCAAGAATACTCTGATTAAAGTCTTTATTCCAAAACAAAAATGAGATCCAATTTTTTGGCAAAAAACAAACAAAAAAGGTACTCGTTCAGCAGCCGCGGCAGCCATGGCACTATAGAAACTTCCAAAGTAGATGTTTAATCATTGTTTTCCATCCATGCAGCTACAGCGTTCCCAATTGAGGACAATGACTCATTTTTTCCTTCCATAAGCCGTAATTTTTTTTTTTCATATTGCACATTTTTCTATGCTGCATGTACTTTATTTTTGTCGCATAATAATCGTGCAACATATCGGTCTTTTTATCCAAACCCTTAATTAACTCTTGCTTGTTGGCACCTTTTTAAATTTAGTAGAGGATACGTTTGGATGGGCAAAGTTGTAGTTGTGATCCACTTGTACATTTTCCTTGTCTGCTTCGGCTTCTGTTTCTGCTATGAACCCGTTGTCCTTCACAACAAGCTCTTCACTTATGGCTGGAGGGCCGTCATCTATCTCAAAATCAAAAGCAATTCCGACTCGACCGACACTGGTGCTATAATGTCTAACATTTTTAAATCAGTGGTATTCAGTTCGTCGTCAATTGCTTCTCCGCCGCCAGTTTTATTAGCATGGTGCTTATTTTTTGATACTTTGGACTTGGTGTTTTTCTTTAGGTCTTGCCAGGTCTAGAAACAAATTTAAATGTGACTATTTGCTGTTTTATAGGGCCCCAAATATTGTTTGCTTGGGTAAGAATATTTTCAATCTGCTTACGTACTGTAGCGTAACCGTCTTCAAGAAGGCGGTGCGGTCTCAGGGGGGAAGAGTTCGTTGGTAAAAAGGCAGATATGACCAGATGATGTGTTTATTAATGGTATGGTCTTTGATAACACACTAAAAAAATATTATACAAGGTATACACGTGTTCGGCAATCACCCTATACATCCAAATAAGTTTTATATTAAAATAAAGACTTACCTAAAAAATATGAGCAGTCACGTCTATTTATTACCCAAATGCAATATTAAAAATATTACTGGTTTAAACAGTGTTCAAAAGTCTCACACCTCGTGGCTATGTCGAACTTGACAAAAAAAAACAGGAAATCTGGGGTGCGCAAAGCAGTCGCGGAATCGCGGCAAAAGTTTAAAAAATCCAGTTAGGCAACCACGATTACTTATTGGTACAACTGGTTGCCTATAGTACGGGAGCTAGCAACGTTTAGAAAACAAGAATTTCAGGTCAGTTGATTTTTTGATATGCTGTCTTTCTTGCTCTTTCGGTTAGAGTCTGGGCTACCTGGCTGGCGGTAGCGGTTGCGTTTATTACTGCGCATCTTACCTGTACAGGTAATAATTCTGGATTTTAAAAGAATTTTTTAAAGCGTAATTTTTAATTTTTTGCCTTTAGATAGATCTACCAGACAGCAATTTTTTATTTTTATTGTTGTTAATTATGTGCCAAACGCGAATTTTTATTTTTTTTTAATAAAAAATTCAAAGTATTTTCGAATGTCTGTAATTTTTATATTATGTTATTTAAGCATAAAATAATGTAAAATTAATTTGCTAGACGTTAATTCGATTGTTAAATATAAAATACAAATAAAAAAGTAATGAAAAGTATCGCAGATGCCTGTGGTTAGAGAGAGACAGTTTAAAGTGCAAGAGAGATAGAAAGCGACGGCAGCGCATCGGCTAGTGTATAACAGAATATTGTTAAGAATGAGACAGGTATAATTGCAAAAATACATTACTTACACTCCTTCTTGTAAGTACAAGTTGAAATGAAAAATTTTAAGCATAAAATTGAAAATAAAATTAAAATAAGAATAAATTGGAAAGAATGAAATTAAAAATATATCATACAAGTTGCAAAAATTCTATTTTTTATTTAAAAAGTACTGATTATCACACGTGAATTACAAATATTTAATGAAAAGTTTCGAAGTTTTTATTAATAAAATTTTAAAATCTCTTCAGTCTATAATCGCGTCACAAAAAAAGAGGCATCTTCAAAATCATCATAATCATCTTCGCTCTCACTGTCAGAATTATTTATATCATCGTATTGGGAATTGTCATTGTCTTCTAATACTCTATCATCTGTAACAAAAAAATTAAAATTCCTGTAATTGTTCTTGTTCGTTTTATTGTTTAATGTTCTATTTTATACTTACTTTGAATAATTATATCTGCAACAGTGGAAGGTAATTGATCTCCCACAAACCAGACAAAATCATACTTATCATCATTAATGATCCAACCGGAATCAACTGGAGATAAAGATGTCGGATGTTTTAAGTGCGCATTTCTCCATAGCTTAGTCACATAGCGAACCCTTAATAAATGCTGGAGCAATTCTGCTTTACAGGGTGGCACGCTGGATGAGTCGAAGTTTCGAAATTTTTTATCAAAGTTCTCATCGGATTTTTTAGACTGGAAAGTACTTGAGATTAGATGAAATCGAACATCATTAACATCCGAAGAATTTTTAACTCCATACATTTGACAAATAAACTTCTCCAGGGTTATAAAGGTAGTTTCAAGTATGTCTTCGTCATCAGTAATTATATTTTGAAAAGCTAATTGATATTCGATCGATGTCTCTAACATTTTAAAAGGCCTAACTTTGCCTTTTCTAAAAAATGCTGGTGTGTAATCACACCCAGTGATTGCGTGGAAGCATGGCAAAGCTTTACATAAAGAGACTCCAAGTATTCGGTATATTTCATTGATGTTAATGCATCGCTGATGATTTCCTACACCCATATTCATCCAGATGTTTAAAGATAAGTTTAAGTGATCCATATTTCCCAGAAGTATAATTAAAATATCAGAGTCAGAACAGCGTATAACAACTTTAGCGTCAAAATCGATTTGACAAATATGAAATATAATTCTAGATTCGGCTTCTTCATGTTCTTCACGTGATAATGATTCTTCAGTGGTTTTGATTACTTTGTTATTTAAAACTTTGTAAGAATAACATTTATTGTAACTTACATAAATATTTTTATTACCAATGAAAGGTACCATATCTTCACTATCCCAGTGATCTATAAAAAAGTTAACTAGAGCTTCTTTAAATTGTATATTTTTAAGTTCTGCTGCAAAATTATGTGGTCGAACTTGATTTGGACCAATTGATACTGGACTGGTTGCTTCTTCTCGACGTGAATGTTCACAATCTTTGATAGAAGGCGAAAAATATTGATCAAAGACAACGTCAATCCGAATAGATCTCATCTGGGAGATAGTACTCATAAACTTTTTAGCTATACCGTTATACGTTTGTGGTACTTCTTTCATGAGATGTAATAAAAAGAAACCATCAACAAGACAAACATCAAAAGATGACGGTTGTTGATGTATAGTGTTGCCCAATTTTTTTTCTATGAGCTTTGCTAATTGTGATTTTTCAGTCTTACAAATTGATCAATCTGGGTGACCATTGATGTTGGCATCGGGGTAAGTGGGAATGTCAAAACTTTCTCAATGTGAACCTTGTGAGTCAAAGAAATCCCTAGCATTCTACCAAATAGATCTCTTTGCATTCGCAACTCAACAACTTTATTTCCTCAATTTCTTTTTCTTTGGCACCTCAGCAAAATTAAAAACTTTATTTTTTTTTATTGGTTTATCAAATCTATTTTCATCTTCAACGCATTCACTGATAAATTGGTTCCTTAAAGTCTCACTATTCTCTTCAATATTTAGTAAAAAATCAGCAACGTCAGGAGAAGCAGGCTTTGAAGTAGAAATGTTGTAGAGATTTTCTTTATCTAATTTTGGATCAAATGGATTGCAATTTTTTTCGAGAATTTCAATGAAATCAGCAATTTGTTTTCCATAGATTTTAATTCTATTTGGTTGTAATTCTGCTGTAACATCTTGTAAGTATCTTAAGCCGCAAACATCCAAGATATGTGATATTAACGCTGCTCTTATGCTGTGGCTTTAGTAAAGTGAGCAATTCCGCTCAGTCGTTTAGCTGCATCTGCATTTATTGTTTGTTCCAGTGAGAGATCTATTGGTATTCGTGAGAATGGCTTATCAGTTCTTTTGACTCCAAAACATCCTTTATTAAAATCATCTTGTAGTCCGGGGTGGGTTTTATCGACATTATGTAAATTATCTGAATATTTTACACAATAACGAGCGTAATTTGGTTGATTTACAATAAAAAATAAGTTTGCCATTTTTGGAATCACGTGCGTAAACATTTAAAAGTCACCCATACGTATACTTCTCGAAAGGTTTATGTAATAAATAATCAACTGGATATAGATCATGTAGAACTGTGCTGTTTTTCCATAGTTACCTTGTCTGGTCTTTGCTACGTATCTTTTGTAGGAATTGAGCAGTTGCGATAACATTTGATTTGGTAATACATCAGTGTCCGTTAATGATGAGAACGAAATTTTTTTGTCCTGATATTCTAAAAGATCTTCGTAAATTTGTCCTTTCACAAAATCATATCCAGCATTAGCATCAAAATGTAACATCTGTAAGCCTAATGCCATTAACGGATGCAGACGTTTGCAACGATTAAAGTGTTTACCGTCAATTATTCCATTTACAGACCCCGAAGCGATGATTTTACTCTCAATCATCATGTGAGACAATCCGCACTCATCGATAAAAGTACCGACAGCTTTAAAAAAAGCCATCATTAAATGAAACGATCCAAGATGTATGAAAAGATTACTAAACTTGAGACCTTCTGTTGCTTGAATTTTATAAGCTATTTTAGCAATTGCTAAGTTATATTTGACTTGTACATAAGTTTGACCACATTATTTACCAACTTTTTGGGCTTGCTCCAGTGTGAACGCGACCACTGATACATTTGTTGGTGATAAATTAATGGGAGTAAGATATGATACTTTTTGTTTTGGAGTATTGTCTTCTATCATTCTGCTATTAAATCCTGTCCAAGATGGTGTATTTGGCACTTGAAAAACATATGATAGCAAATGTAACAGATCAATGGTTTGTAAAAAAGAAAAATTTGTAGGTGATGATGATGATTGATCAATTTCAACCGGTATTAAGCGACCTGCCATCTTTAATCGTTTACCATAAGGAATAATGTCGGGAGTGAGTCTTTTAACGATCGCCTTCTTTTTTGTGATAGTGTTGTTGGTGATAAATCTTCTGAATTATCATTATCTTGATTTAATTCAATATGGGAATTATTATCAATGTTTTGGTATATAATCCCCACAGTATCATGCAAAGTTTCTTTTCCATTCAAGGTATCAACGTATCTATCAAAATTGTCAAAAGCTACACCAGTACATAGTGAGGGATTTAAAACGATGTCTGGAGGACAAACTTGGGTTCGATGTACTGATGAGATGGTTGCTTCTGTTTCCAATTCTTCTAGAGTTGTATAGTTACAACAATGTCCAAATCTGTTTAAAATATTAATTATTTTTTTACTGCTTGTTAGGCTTTTTATAGTCATACCAAGAGTAATATGTTTAGATGGTTTAACGGTACCATTACTAACACAAAAAATTGCATCAGCAGCCATTGAGGAACTCAATCTACTACAATTTAGACCATCTCTGCGTCTAATATCTTTACCCCAAATAAATACCTTGAAGAATCGATCTAATTTATCAGGTATCACGCATTCACCAGTAATTAGGTCGTATGTTTTAATTTTTGACGGTAATTTTGATTTTTCAATTTTGAGAATTGTATTTCGTAAGATTAACGCGACTTTATCAATAAGGTCGTTTTCTTCAAGTTTAGTTAGATTATCTTCTAATAAACTACAATCTTCATTAATAATAATCTTTTTCTTTTGCCTGGATATAATTTTTATAGTTTTCTTGAAAAATTTTTGTATTTTCTATTCAAGATAATGATTAGTTATTAAACTTATATCTGTCTGAGGCTGAAAATTCTGCTCATACTCCAGCTCATTATTGTACATATCACAAAGAGATGAAAACGATACACAATTTCTCCTTTTTAAAACTTCTTCTTCTATTGTCGATACAATATGATTGAAAATTTCTTTATGGATATTACGGTTTTTATGCCAAGAAGTACATGGAATGTCTGAAACTACTTTATTATACTCATTTAAATAAATTAATTCACACAAATTATGATAAAAAATCGGTTTATTTGCAGATTTCAAATCATTAATTTTTTGTAACAACTCATCATTATTAAGTTACTCCATCCAATCAATGATTTTTTGATAAAGTTTGGTATCTTTTGACGAATGAAGATTTTGTTGTTTACCTTTATTTTGCTTACGATCTTTATTACAGTAAAAACAAATATTTTTGAATTGTCGATCTGTTTCAACATATTCAATATTTGCATCAGGATTATCATCACAAAGGTTAGTTTCGTTAATACTTAAATTACAAACTGACCTGGAAGCAGTATCTCCTAGCATTCTCTGATTATCTAAACTTGAAGCTTCATCTTCCGAAAGTACCTCACTGTTAAAACTTGGGTTAGGATGTCCTGACATACATTGATTATTTAAATTTTGAACAGCATCTTCCGGTATTATTTCTTTATTTAAAATCAGTTCAAGATCATCTGATGTTGTGTGATGAATTAAACTCGAAGCAGTAACCTCACTTTTGATTTCACTGTTTAACGTTTCAGTTGTGTTTTCAGCAATAGTTTCACTAACATTTGCAGCAGTATTTGATGGCAAAGTATGCGGAGTGGATTTACTGGTACTATCTATTTCAGTCGATGGATCACGGTATTTTGCCATTAAAGCTGTAAAACTTCCATAACATTGTCTGTGATATCCATCTGTTTTATTTATTTCAGTAGGCAGCTCGATGTCACTGTACTTTAATTTATATTTTAAACGTATATTCAAAACTTCCTGGCATTTTTTCAGTTTATCAACCACGAAAAGTATTATTTTATCTTTATGTCGTTTACAGAAAACACATTTCATTTTACAAGCGTTGACAAGCGTCTAGTCCCAGCGCCGGCTACTTTGTTTAACTAACAGAAAGCTTCACACGTCACACACTGTAAACAATAGGAACTATTCAATAAGCTCGGTAGCTCCGATGGAAGAGCGCCCGCTTTGTATGCCAGAGATACCAGGTTCGATTCTTAGCGCCTACAACTTTTTTTTATTTTTATTTATATAGTGAAAAGGATTAATATTTAATTTTACATTAATATTTTAAATTATTTACCCTTCCTCATAATCATTTTGCTACAGTTATATAATATAATATGTAATTATATGAATATTCCTTCGTTGAAAAATTGGGCGGGGTCGGTTGGGTTGGGTTGTTGAGTTTGGGTTGGTTTCAAAGCTTCGCAAAAAGTAATTCTTTACTTAGATTATTATAATAAACCCTACATTAAATGTCGCGTGAAGATTGTCGATAACGCGCATGTCTGCGAAAAGTAGCCGGCGCTGGCGCAAGACGCTTGTCAAATAACGCAAACACAAAACAAACATGTGACTTTAGACTGACGTCATGTTGTCCACTAGCCAATGCGCTGCCGTCGCTTTCTATCTCTCTTGCACTTTAAACTGTCTCTCTCTAACCTCAGGTATCATACTGCGATACTTTTCATTACTTTTTTATTTGTATTTTATATTTAACAATCGAATTAACGCCTGGCAAATTAATTTTAGTTTATTTTATGCTTAAATAACATAATATAAAAATTACAGACATTCGAAAATATTTTGAATTTTTTATTTAAAAAACATAAAAATTCGCGTTTGGCACATAATTAACAACAATAAAAATGTCTGGCAATAAAAAATTGCTGTCTGGTAGATCTATCTAAAAGCAAAAAATTAAAAATTACGCTTTAAAAAATTCTTTTAAAATCCGGAATTATTACCTGTACAGGTAAGATGCGAAGTAATAAACGCTACCGCCATCCAGGTAGCCCAGACTCTAACCGAAAAAGCAAGAAAGACAGAATATCAAAAAATCAACTGACCTGAAATTCTCTCTCGAAAACGTTGCTAGCTCCTATACTACTACCTCTGGGCGCATAATAATAATTCTGCTTCATCTGCCCCCTACATCGGAAAACCGGAATCAGTCACGGAACCGGGATACCGAGGTACAACAAAGTAAGGTTTTAAGTGTGAAGCATGAAACATTTCACGCTCCACCGCAGTGTTCGGGTTCTCTAACACAAAAGTAGCCGCGCCAACTCGATTTTTTACGCGGTATGGGCCCCTTAAAAAGGAGCATAAACTTCCTAGTTTCGGCTGACAAGGCGGAAGAAACGGGATTGGCACCAAATCTCCGAGTTTAAAGTTGACAAACGATGTTCGGGATTGTGCCTCTCGACGCCGGGCAGCTTTAGAACTCATGGCGTTCTTATCGAGGAAAAGTTTGATGTGCGCGTCCATGGCTTTGGGGGAACTGGGAAACTCAATAACGTCCCGAAGTAGAATATCAGGTGGGGACCCAGTTTGCAACTCATGTGGAGAAAACCCAGTACTCTCATGTACGACGGAGGTTAATACTTTAACAAAGTAAGGGACTTCGTAGGCCCACCGAGTGTGTTTCGAGTGGCAGTATGTGCGGAAAAGCCTACCTAACTCGCGCATGCATCTCTCAACCGGGTTTGCCTCGGGGTGACGCACGGCGCTGTGGGAAACTTTAATATTGTGGCGCTTACAAAAATCCAACCAAACTTTTGATGTAAATTGCGTCCCGTGATCCGCATGGAGGGTAACGGGCTTACCAAATTTCGGGAAAAAGTCATTTTCAAAACTTTTTATTACGATACGAGAAGTAGCCCTTTTAATCGGGAATAAAGAAAGGTACTTCGAGAAAACGTCAAGGACCACGAATAAATAAGTTACCCCACCTCGAGACCGCGGTAGCGGACCGTAAAAGTCCACAGAAATCAACTCATTGACCCGAGAGGGGAGTATAGAACCAAGTGGTGGTTTAGGTAATTCCGAATGTTTACTTTTTTGGCAAATATCGCAAGTTTTTAGGACGCGTTTAACGTCGCGGTGCATATTCTGCCACCAACATTCGCGTCGAAGAGCCACCCAGCTTTTAAAAACCCCAAAATGTCCAAGGGTTTCATGAAAAGCAAGTATAAAATCCTCTATAAGGGCCTTGGGAACGCAAACTAGCGATGCTTGGTCGTCAGGTTATCTCAAAAACAGTACGTCCCGGTGAATAACGAATTTACCGGAATTAATGTGATTACTTTCGATTTCAATTCGTATTTTGTTAAGTTTGGGGTCCTCGCGCTGCGCTTGACTCAAGGCTGGCAAGCTGTCTTGAAATTTTTTTGACCAAGACATACTAACATTGAGGATACGAAAGCACCTATCGCTAGGGACAGGGGGGCGTAACGGCGGGTTCCTAGAAAGTATATCCGGTACCACATTGTCCTTGCCAGGTATATAAAGAATTTCAAAATCGTACTCCTGAAGGGCTAGGACCCAGCGAGTGATACGCGGGACGAGCAAGCGGCAGGTGCTTAGATACGAGAGTGCCTTGTGGTCGGTTAGCACGTTAAACCGTACTCCGAGCAAATGAACTCTCTACTTGTTAAGCGCAAATACAATCGCGAGGGCTTCCTTCTCGGCGATACTGTAGGCACGTTCGCGATCTAGCAATAACCGACTTGCATAGCCTATAACGCGGATTTGTCCGTCGATTTTTTGTGATAATTGCGCCCCCAAACCAAAGTCGGAACTATCGGTTTGCACGTAAAATGGGGCACCTGCGACGGGGTGGTGCAAAAGGATCCCCTTCGCTAGGCTTTGTTTAAGATTATCAAACGCGCTTTGTTGTTCCACATCCCATTTCCAGGGCGATTTTTTCCGCAGCAGTTGAAAAAGGGGCGCAGCAATGGAGGAAAAATCTTGGCAAAAGCCGCGGTCGTAGTTACATAACCCCAAAAAGCCTTGGAGTTCCTTGGGGTTAGTCGGGGTAGGAAAGTCAGTAACGGCCTGAACTCGAGTAGTATCGGGACGGATGCCTTGGGATGTAATCTCATAGCCTAAAAGCGAAATCTCGGACCGCAAGAATTGGCATTTTTTTAACCGAAGGGTAAAGCCGGCTTGCGTTAACCGACGAAAAACGTGGTCTAAATGACTTAGATAGTCTTCAAAGGTCTCCGAGATAATGACTAAATCGTCAACGTACGCAACGACGAATTCGCGAAATTCCGGACCCAAAATACCATCCATCGCACGAGTGAACGATGACACGGCAGTTTTTAAGCCGAACGGCAAAACAGTAAAACGATACGAGTGCGTCCCGTGCAGGAAACCGGTGTATTTTTTATCCTGCGGTCGCAAAGGTATCTGGAAGTATGAGTGTGTGAGGTCTATAGTGGACATATACTTTACTGCAGGCAATGTTTTGAGTATGTCCTCAATAGGCCTGGGTAATTCGGTTTCGGGCAGCATACGTTTGTTCAAAAATCGCGCGTCCAGACAGACACGCACTGTGCCATCCTTTTTAAGAGCAGTGACTAAGGGGCTACAATACGGCGAGGCAGTAGTTCGCTCAATGACCCCCCACTCTAGCATACGGTCAATTTCCTTTTGTACAGCGGGCCGATGTGCATGGGGAATCGGGTATTGCCGTTTGAAAAATGGACTTTCGTCACTCAATTTCATGAAAGTATTCTCGGAAAAGATGGACTTATGTTTATAAAGGAGGTCGGAAAAAGGTGTGACTCTGTTTAAAGGTAAGTCTATTCTTTGAATAACCTCATCGAGTTCAGTATCGTTTGTTTTAGAAGAACTAAGCATTAAGATGGCCGGATAGGATATGCTGGACAAGATCTTCATGGATATTACAGGTACTTCATCCTTGTTAGGAAATTGTGTTCCAAAAACATTAACGTTGTTATCGTTAAAGTTCAAGGTTACAAAATTTTTCCGTAGGTGGAGCACAGCATCAACCGAACGCAGAAAATCGCAGCCTAAAACGACTGGGAATACCAGATCGGGTATAAAAAGGAACTCGAAAGTAAAGTTAGCCTGACCCAGTGAGAAGTTAATCAGTGCTTGGTGAGTTATTTTACGAAGTTTATTTTTAAATGCCCCCGAAACTCTAACGCCGTTCACGGGAAACACTGGTACAGAACTGTCCTGCGAGACGGTGTTCCAAACAAGTTCCGAAAGTGCACAAACTTCGCTACCCGTGTCTAAAAGTGCCGGGAAATCGCAATCATACAACCGGATCGTGACAATAATAGTATTCGCGTTTAGATTAGGACATTCAAAAGGCTCCGGCGCTAGTAAATCTTCACGCGGGTTATTTAAAATTGAATTGGTTATAAGGTTCCCAACATTGTTACACCCCAAAGTTGAACCTTGGCCTTGAGGTGGTCTTAGTTTTCCGGAGTAAAACTATTTTTTTCTTCGGTCGGCTCGAGGTCACTGATAAAATTAATTTTCCGGTCATTATTCTGGAAACGACTATTAGCCATGCGATATCTATCATTCTGGCCGCGAATAACCGAATCGTATTGAGGCGCACGATTATTTGAATTTAAAGTTGGCACGCTGGGTGGCGTAAATCTATCAACACCGCCCGGTTTGCGATTGTAAACATAACTCGACTTAAAGTCGTTAAAATTCATTTCATTTCCGCCAGTTTCAATTTCTCTATGGCCGCAGAGATAGTTGGTGTTCCGATAAGCGAAGCAGAAATTACCGGTGGGAAGTGTCGAGTTATTAGTGCCACGAGTTCTATCTCCGAGTAACACTGCAAGTGTCGTGCCAATGCAACTTGCGACAAAAAATAATTGACATACGACGTTTTACCGTCGTATTTGCCGACTTCAAATTGGAGTTTTACCTTGGTTTGTCGCGACTGATCCCAGAACTGTCCGAGGAAGGCAGACTTAAAGCCGTGAAAATTAATAAAAGTGTGCAACAATGCGTCAGCCCAAATTTTCGCTTTACCAAGAAATAAGCTGTGTGTCCAAAAGGAAACAAACCCGAAAGGTACGTTGTGCAAATTTACAGCCTGTTCCAATCTCGTAATAAAATCCACTGGGTGTACATTTATACTTTCATCGTCGAACTTGGGTAATAAATTCACGATTTTTCCAAAGTTTCTGTGAAAATCGTTGTTTTGATCGTTTAAATTAGGTGGTATATTATTATTCGGTTGTAATGATTGATTTAGTACGTTATTCGAGTGTATAGGGCTTACATTTGGCAAATTATTTACATTATTTGTATACCCTAACCTAACATTATTTGATATATGATTTTTCTGTATTCTAGGGTCTGTCTGCCAAACATATGGATACGGTGGTGGCAAACCCATGTTAAGAAGAGGTGCTGAAGGTACCAGCAAGTTGGTAGCCTGTGGCATGCTTGGCCAAGTAGGATTAAGCCCTCCGCTGGATAAATGTGGAACCGATACAGAAATTGGCTCACCTGCTGTGGTAACTGCTCCACCCAGCCAGTTTTGTGGTGGTGCGCTTAGTCTACCTGTTGCCGTTGTAACAGTAGGTCTAACGGTGTACCCAGCAGCTTCGTCCAGCCAGGCTGTTGTGGTGGATGGTGGCTCGGCAGCATTATTTAAGGTCTTGCTCCTTGTAATTGGACCCTGGTTTCGATTTGGTGTACGATGCATATCTGGGCTTAACTCCTCCAAAGGCTTAAGATGAAAAGCCTAGGTCCTAGGTTGGGAGCCAAAGTTGTAGCGTAACCGTCTTCAAGAAGGCGTTGCGGTCTCAGGGGGGAAGAGTTCGTTGGTAAAAAGGCAGATATGACCAGATTATGTGTTTATTAATGGTATGGTCTTTGATAACACACTAAAAAAATATTATACAAGTTATACACGTGTTCGGCAATCAACCTATACATCCAAATAAGTTTTATATTAAAATAAAGACTTACCTAAAAAATATGAGCAGTCACGTCTATTTATTACCCAAATGCAATATTAAAAATATTACTGGTTTAAACAGTGTTCAAAAGTCTCACACCTCGTGGCTATGTCGAACTTGAAAAAAACAGGAAATCTGGGGTGCGCAAAGCAGTCGCGGAATCGCGGCAAAAGTTTAAAAAATCCAGTTAGGCAACCACGATTACTTATTGGTACAACTGGTTGCCTACCTCTGGGCGCATGATAATAATTCTGCTTCAGTACCTTTCTCCACTGACGCCAGTCCTTATTTGCGCCTCTCGCAACAGCATTCACTTGTCCACTGATTTTTTCGCATAACTGTTGCGCTTTTTTAAATGTGAACTGGCTTGTAAACTTGCCACTTTCCAGCTGCGGGTTGCACGCCATAAACTCAATTAACATGTCCTTCTGCACTTGAATTAAAGGAGCCTTCCTTTTTTTATCCACTTCTTCTGCGATGCCCTTTTGCCTTGATGGCGTTGATAAGCCCCTTTTATCCATTATAATTTACCAAACAAGTATGCAACACTTGTTGACTGTTAAATGACAACTGACACAACCGTAGGTCGAACGCACCAACTTTTAGTTCCAACATACCATGAAGCAACTAGGCAACAATGTAACTAAAGCTTCTCATGACTTTTGAGAACACATATTTTAGAGAATACGACATACATCTACTAAGAGAACAAGGCTGTGATGTGATCACTCCTTTCTCATGAGTTCGAGAATCGATGTCCTGGACGGCTATTCTTGAGCAGTGAGCGGCATAGATTTATGGCGAATGATCACATGAGACGATCGTCGTTATATTCTTGGACGGTGATCCGATATTACTAATCTTATGAAAATCATACGTTCCGGAACGCATGTTCCGAAAGCCAGGAGCAGCATCGAATCGAGTGGCGCTGGCGCGGTAAAGATGTTTTTTTTATGGAAATTTGTTTTCTTATTCCGGTTTGTTCTGTTCTGTCAGTTCTGTTTTTTATTTAATTTCGAATTTATGTGCATTAAGTTAAAAAAAGAGATTTTGTTGAAAATATCAAATAATGTAAATGAACGCAGAGTTAATTTAAAAGCTTACCTTTCTCCACATTCGCCAATCGTCTTTTTTTGCACCTCCTGGTACGGCGTTTAATTTCACAGTAATTATTTCCCAGAGTGTTTGGGCATTTTTGAATGTAAAATTAGGACTAAAGGTACGGGCTCTTAATTTGGGGTTTTGTTCCATATATTCAATTAGCATATTTTTCTGAATGCCGTTTGTGGGGGCACTCCTTTTGGAAGGGGTAAAAAGTGACTTACGCATTTTTATTCAAATTCAAAAATAATTTATTTATTTAGTATAACACACACTAGGTTTTTATTATTATTAATATAATCGAATATCGAATATAATTTATAAAACAAAATATCAAAAAATCATGAATGACAACCGTACAAAAAAAAGGTTAAAAATCTTTGTATCAAATAATGCTGGCAACAGCGCAATAATTTTGATTCAAGAATAGGTCGATTTTGACCGTGGGTGTCGATAGATTGCACGGGATAGAACCCATCGTACGAGAGAAACACCGGATCGTATGATTTTCAAGAATAGCCGCCCTGGTCGACCGAACGACTCACGCCATCACATTCGTATCAAGTCAGGCGCTAGAAACCAGTTGACAGAAGACTTGGGCGCTGAATATATAAGAAACGGAGAAGCACAGAGCAGTTAGTTGAGCTTTGGTACTCGCGAAGAAATAAATACATATAAGTGAAATAAATAAACTAGCAGTGATATAAATAATTAGTAGTTAAGTGTTTAGTTAGTTTTATAGTGTTTTAAGTGTAGTTAAGTTATTAAATAAATAGTTTAGTTCGTTAATTAACCAGTGCGTGTTTTAATTCACACTACGAACAGTTAAAAACGTTACAATTGGTGTCAGGAGTGCGGTTAGTGTGAAACTTCGCGAAAATGGTTTCGTTAATGGACTTAAAAGTGGCGGACCTTAAGCGGGAGCTAGAAGAAAGAGAATGTGAAACAACTGGAAAAAAGAATGTGTTGCAGCAGCGGCTTCGAGAAGCATTGGAACAAGAGGGTGAAAATCCAGATAAGTATTTATTTGAAGACCCTTGTGACATGCATTTAATGTTGCAAAATTTAAAAGAACTAAAAGTCGATTTGCAACAGAAAATGATGGAAAACTCTAGCGATTTAAAAATCGATTTACAACAGAAGATTCTAGAAAATTCCAACGATTTACAACAGAGAATTCTTGAAAATTCAAACGAATTACAACAGAAAATGCTAGAAAATTCTAATGATTTGAAAGTCGATTTACAACAAAAAATGCTGGAAAATTCTAGCGAATTGCAGCAGAAAATTCTGGAAAATTCTAAAAATTTAAAAGAATATTTGGAACAGAAGATTCTAGATAATGTCAATGAATTGGAAGACAAAATGAGGCAGAAATTTGACGACGTAAGGATGGAATTAAAAGAGGACGTAAGGATGGAATTGAATGACGTAAGGATGGAATTGGATGATAAATTGGAACTCAAAATAAAAGAAATAAATAGTAAATTAATAGCTGTTAATTTACCTATGATGCTGGCAGAACAAGGAGCAGTGCCGGAGGGGAGCCGAGTTAGGATGAAACCACCTCAGTTCGATGGAAAAACTTCTTGGACCAACTACATCCGTCAGTTTGAGGCAGGAGCAAAAGCAAATGGCTGGCTACCGGAAGAAAAAGCTACAGCATTGACTCTTGCTTTACGCGGAGATGCAACCGACATCTTGCAGACACTTTCTCCCAACGAACAAGAAGATTACGAAGCGTTGGTTAAACATCTGGAATTGCGATATGGCCAGACACATCTGGAACATGAACATTCCCAACTAAAGAATCGCTGCCAGAAATCTAACGAGACTTTGCAAGAATTTGAGGCTGATATTGCACGCTTGGTCCGGCTAGCATATCCAGCTACTCCAACGACCGTTATGGAACGATTAGCGGTTCAAGCCTTTTTGGATGGACTTCGGGACAATGAAACACGACAGGCTCTGACATTGGCTCGTCCGAGCCAACTGGTTGATGCATTGGCTCGAGCTTTGGAATTCGAGGCGGCAAAGCAGAGCTGCAGGAGCCAGCCTAGAATAAGGAGAGTCGAGGAAGAGAAAGAGGAGGAACCCAGTATAATTGAAGCAATCAGGCGAGTTTTTAAAGAAAATTACCAGAGAACAAGGAAATCCGGTGTTGGAGATGTGGAAAGCTAGGACATATACGAAGTCGTTGCAGAGAAAGCCAGGTGGCGCCGACTACGTCTCAGTCGGAAAACTAGATAGGGTCGAGGAAAAGGGGCCACCGTCGACCTGTAACCAGCATGCCCCAAAAGATATCGAACGTGTTGCATCTCTTCTACACCAGTCCAGCAGTGTTTTTGTGGATGGTTTAATTAATGGAAAATTACTGGATACAGGTGCGACGAAGACAATTATTAGGCCAGATATTGTCGAAATGTCCAAGATCAAACCTACCAATCGGCGACTACGTACTGCAACAGGAGAAACCGCTACTGTTCGTGGAGAAGTGGACATCACGATGGTCATAGGAAATACGAAATTTAAATATCGAGCATTAGTTGCAGATATTGAAGATGAAGTTATTGTAGGCATGGACATTATGAACTCTATAGGATTTGAACTGGACTTTAAGCAAGGAATATTGAGGGTAAATGGAGAGGAAGTCGTGTTGCATCGATCTAAAGAGAAGAATATTCGTGTAATGCTAACAGAAGATGCTTTGATACCGGAACACAGCGAGATGATATTGAAGGCTTTCTTGGATTATAAATCGGAAGATGGAAGTATAATGCTTCTGGAGCCGAGAATTGATGACAAAGAGGTCGAGGAATTGTAGTAGGGAAAACTTTAATACGCGTCGGAAAAGAAGTGCCTGTAAGAGTATTGAATGTTAATGGTTACTCTGTGAACTTGAAGAAAGGAATCGTTTTGGGAAACTTTTCTTCAGTTTCCTCGATTATTAGAGGCATTCGTGAGTCTGCAGTTCCGGCCAAGAAAGTAAGCAATGAATTGACGAATCTTTTGTCGACTTCTTCAAAGGATATGAAACCCAATGAAAGGATAAAGCTGAAAGAGAAGAATATTCGTGTAATGCTAACAGAAGATGCGTTGATACCGGAACACAGCGAGATGATATTGAAGGCTTTCTTGGATTATAAATCGGAAGATGGAAGTATAATGCTTCTGGAGCCGAGAATTGATGACAAAGAGGTCGGTCGAGGAATTGTAGCAGGGAAGACTTTAATACGCGTCGGAAAAAAAGTGCCTGTAAGAGTATTGAATGTTAATGGTTACTCTGTGAACTTGAAGAAAGGAATCGTTTTGGGAAACTTTTCTTCAGTTTCCTCGATTATTAGAGGCATTCGTGAGTCTGCAGTTCCGGCCAAGAAAGTAAGCAATGAATTGACGAATCTTTTGTCGACTTCTTCAAAGGATATGAAACCCAATGAAAGGATAAAGCTGAAAGAGAAGAATATTCGTGTAATGCTAACAGAAGATGCTTTGATACCGGAACACAGCGAGATGATGTTGAAGGCTTTCTTGGATTATAAATCGGAAGATGGAAGTATAATGCTTCTGGAGCCGAGAATTGATGACAAAGAGGTCGGTCGAGGAATTGTAGTAGGGAAGACTTTAATACGCGTCGGAAAAGAAGTGCCTGTAAGAGTATTGAATGTTAATGGTTACTCTGTGAACTTGAAGAAAGGAATCGTTTTGGGAAACTTTTCTTCAGTTTCCTCTATTATTAGAGGCATTCGTGAGTCTGCAGTTCCGGCCAAGAAAGTAAGCAATGAATTGACGAATCTTCTGTCGACTTCTTCAAAGGATATGAAACCCAATGAAAGGATAAAGCTGAAAGAGCTGATTCACAATTATCAGGATGTCTTTGACGACGGACAAGGAAATAAGGGTAGGAAAAGAATTGTCCAGCATAAAATTAACACCGGTGATGCACAGCCTATTCGACAGTCGGCAAAAAGGCTGCCAGCGAGAGGAAGCTGATAAAATTGTGCATGAAATGGAGAAGGAAGGTGTGATCGAACCATCCAACAGCCCATGGTCTTCCCCAGTGGTGTTAGTTAAGAAAAAGGATGGATCAACTCGATTTTGCGTCGCCCTCTACCTAGGATAGATGACACCCTGGATACATTGGCTGGATCCCAAATATTTTCGACTTTGGATTTGAAAAGCGGTTACTGGCAGGTTGAAATGGCACCAGAAGATAGAGAAAAGACAGCGTTTACCGTGGGTGCTGGACTGTGGCAGTTTACTGTCATGCCGTTTGGACTATGTAATGCCTCTGCAACTTTTGAAAGGCTCATGGAAATGGTTTTAAAGGGACTATCCTGGAAGACTTGCTTGGTGTACCTTGACGACATCATTGTGGTTGGGAAATCATAACAGAGGGAGAAAGACGATTCCAATGGGACGA